GCCTACCAGAGGATGGTACCCCAGAAGCCAAGGACTCCTGTAGCCAACACTGAACATCACTGGGAAATCTTCACACTAGATCTCTACGACCACCCCAGTAGTGGTGAACACTCCTCCCCTGCACCAGACGGTTGTCCACATCTTTTAAGTCAATGAGATGTTTTACTTGCATGAACAGACCAATTATGGCTCCAACTTTGAATTTTTTTTTAATGTCAGCACGAATAACAGCTTTTTAGGTCATTAAAAATGACACATTATATGGTGACAAAAATATCAATTGAGGTACTACTACAGAATGATTGGTTTTACCTCCTGGAGATAATAATGAATGGATCATCTATCTTACTGTCTCAGAATTTGCCTACAATAATCCAGAGCACTCTTCTACCCAGAATACCCCTTTTTACCAATAATTATCATCTCTATCGCAACAACAGTAAGTACCACCAGTATCTTAGGAGTGCACTAGTATCTACTCACTACATAAAATGATTTCCAGACAACCCTCTAGCAAGTCAAATCAAAATATAAGGAGTACACCAACTAGCACCAGCCTTCAAAACCAAGCAGCTTAGCAGGAGGTATCATTTGCTCTTTTCTAGACTCTCACTGTGCACCCACATCCATACCATCAACTCAGGGAACACTGCTCAAGATGATGGAAAACCTTCAGGTTTTCTGCATCTAGTGGCTTCCCCTCATCCCTGAATTGTATGGAGCATCTAACTTGCCCATCACCACTTCCTTCTACACTCAGGCCACCAAGGCTCCACTCTTCCTCAGAATCCAGCAAACCCCCAATCAACCAAGATAGGAATCCTGAGAATGTCAAGGGGCATTTACTATATTCTGGGTGACATTAAGGTCAGCTCTATTCACTGATCAAACAGAAAAATCAGGAAATCAGGGGCAATTGTGGGAACCCACTTTTTGCCTCCGAAATACATTGAAGCACCTTAACGTGTGTGCAAGGCAAATCCAAGGAAACTATTTTTATATAACTTTAATTATAGTATAGATTCTATATTTTATTTACCTTTTTATGTTGTTACACAGTCCTTATAAGTATTTATTTTAATAGCTGCTTAAATCATTGATATAATTTACCATAATTGACTTAAACATTCCTTTATTGTTATGGAAGTCATGTCTAACTTTTCCCTATTATAGATAATGCTTCAGTAAACATTTTTAGACATAAAGAATTTCTTCTTTTAAATTATTTCTTTAGGATAATGTAAGCAGCATGAACTCCTTAGTTAAAGAATATGAATATTTTAATTTTTCTTATGTGAATTGCTTAATTCACAGCTCAAAGGGCAATACCAATTTGTAAGCCACCATTCATAATCTTTGATGGTCCTTCTACCTCAAATTTATCCTAAGAAATGTTCCTCTCATACAACACGGTTGGAAATATAAATTGGCACTATTGTTTTAAAAGGCAATTTGCGGGGGCTGGCCCGGTGGCGTAGCGGTTAAGTTCATGCTCTCTGCCTTCACAGCCCGGGGTTCTCAGGTTCCCATCCCGGACGCAGACCAACACTCCGCTCATCAAGCCATGCTGTGGCGGCATCCCACATAAAGTAGAGGAAGATGGGCACGGATGTTAAGCCAGGGCCAATCTTCCTCAGCAAAAAGAAGAGGATTAGCAACGGATGTTAGCTCAGAGTTAATCTCCCCCCCCACCAAAAAAGGCAATTTGCAGTGTTTTTGAAAACTGCAAAACTTAACTTTGAAAAGTTAAAATGCACAATACCCTCTGACCTTGGAATTCCATTTCAAGGAACTGGTTCTTTTTTTTTTTGTGAGAAAGATCAGCCTTGAGCTAACACCCACGCCAATCCTCCTCTTTTTGCTGAGGAAGACTGGCCCTCGGCTAACATCTGTGCCCATCTTCCTCCACTTTATGTGGGATGCCGCCGCAGCATGGCCTGACAAGGGGTGCATCAGTGCACGCCCGGGATCCGAACCCTGGCCGCCAGCAGCAGAGTGTGTGCACTTAACCACTACACCATGGGGCCGGCCCCATGGGAACTGGTTCTTTGAAATACTGCCATATCTACCCAAAGAAAAATGAATAAGAATGTTCACTGCAGCACTGCTTGTGGGAGCAAAGAAACAGAAATCAACGTAATTATTCATCAAGGGGAGAATATTTAAATTATGATAAATCGAAATAACATAGAGAACATCACACTATTTCTGTCTTAAAGGAACTATGTGCACGTATCTAAGTCTATGCATATTTGCCGTGCATAGGAAAAGGTCAGGAGGACAGACTACCTACAGAGAGAAATTATACTGAAGGGAAGGGGGTGGCAGGGAGGTGATGAGGGAGAAATTGTATCTCACTCTATACGTCTGTATGTATTTGGATTGTTTACAGTGAGCATATACTCACCTAATACTTTTATCATTAAAATAACTTAAAATAAAGTACTTGAAATGAGACAAACTTCCTAATATTTTAGTGAAAAAACCCTATTATTTCTCCTTTTATTTCGTTGTCAATCTAAATAACACTGAAAGCTAGCAACACATTCCATTACTGACTTTACCAATGGCCACTCCCTCGTAAATGGTGGACCCAGAATAAAAACCCAAAATAGAATTAGTGCTGAGAGAGGTGACTAGATAGTTGGAAATGTAAGCATTAAGAAGAAAAAGACTGAAGAGCTACCATTTTCGAATCATCTGCATTCCAAACCACAAAGCATAATAAAAATCCACTTTTTTGTATGCCACCTATTCCTACTGGTTTTAACTTTTACAATGGAACTAATGACTTGCTGCATAAAGAAAATGCTGGATATTTATTTAAGCCTGCAGTCTCAGGGTATACTACTCAGCAGACCATCTGGATCAGAATCACCTGTGGTACTGACCGCACATCAAAGTCAAGGTCTTTAGACCCCACTCTAGATCTAAAGTCAGAGGGTGGAAATCTGCAGCTTGAACAAGCGCCCGAGGCGACTCCCGGATCCCAAAGTTCAAGATACACTTTCACACGTATTCAGAAACACTGAACATCACAGTAGTAATCAGGAACAGAGTCTTTCCATAAACGAAAAGAAAAAATTCTTATTTGGCTTTCTGAAAGACAGTAAGACCATAATTTATTTTCTAAAGATTAACCAGTCTGATCTAAACAAAATGCCATCTGATTTAGATTTTCTACACCATTCAAGCAGGGACTGTTTCTATTTTGAGCTTCACTCCAGGCCCAGCATCCAGCATCTGGCACATAGTAGGCCTCAATAAATATTTGTTGAATTAATACGATTTGGGCCCAGGAGCTCCTCACATATAGAAACGAACATGGAGGAAGTGGACTTGGCCAGTGGGAGGGAGGGAAGAATATGAGACTGAGACTGAGATGAGATGGATTCTAGACAGGGCTCTGCAACTGAGGAGAACGTGATCTCATTCCATCACTTAACCTTTCCAAGTCTCATCTCCATTCTCTATAAAGGAAGGGAGCAGATTCTGTGACATTAACTGCCTAGGAATCTTCTGAACGCAGTCTGAAATGTTGAAATAGAGATCCTAGAGCAGCTTAAACACTCCTTTGATAAATGTCCTTGGGTGCTCTCATCTCAAAGTTAATATTGTAAAGACAAAGAAACATTATGAAAGGCGGATATTACCTTCACCACTGATTTGTCATTCTGTGATTAAGTTTGAAACCACTGGGAAGATGACAATCCATTTGAAAGCAAAACAGGAAAGACAACGAGCAAAAAAGTAAACTGTCAGTCTACGAATTTGGTCAGTTGTTACCATTCCAAATTTCAAAATCCATTATTTACACAAATTATTTTTACCTAAATCTTCTGGATGGCACCTAATATAGTTATTATTGAGTTTGTGGCATAGTTATTAAAAAGAAATGCAAGATATCTTTTTGAGGAGAAATTTACAATAGTTTGTAGAAAACTCATAACCACAGGGTGGTCAATCACCCAAACACACATTTTAAAGGACCAAAAAGGCTTTCTGAGCACAGAGACATTAAATACAAAATTGCCAAATTTAGAAAAAAGATCTACTTACTAATAAACATGACCTTCACTTATAGAGCTGCAAATCAGTCTTAAGTGCAGCAAAGGGTCATGGAGAGCAGGAGCAAATACTAATCTGCATGCCCATCGCCAAAACTGTGGTCTATCAGAGCAGTCGGCAGGGGTCTTAACTGGCATGAGAAACTCCCTAGGCTGAAATGGGAAAAACAATGAAGGGTGCCCTTAGGCTTCCAGGAGAAATGCTCATGAATCCAGAAGAAAGTCTAAACTTATTCCAACCTCTGAGGGAGGAGGGGGTGGCCCGGGAAGGCAGAAAGTCACCCTGAGACAGGGGAGTCCAGAGACATGTCCCTTGGCTTGTGTCACTTTTCACCATCCTCAGAGAAGTTCTTTAAGTACCTGGGGTGGGGGGAACCCTCAGTTACCCTCTTGCCCAGTCCCTGGAACACTTGCTCCAAGCCCTCAACAGAGGCCACTGATGAAAGAGGATGGTGAGCTTCTGGAAACCTTGAAAGAGCTATGTAAAGGGGGGTAAAAAAGCTTGTCCTGCCTTGAAGACCCCAGTCGCAGTGAGCAGCACCAGGTATGCAGGCCAGTGGAGGAAGCTCTGAGAACAGCAGGCTGCAAACAACCGTGAGCAAAGAAAGCAACAAAACAGAACCCTGGCACCGCCTCGAGGCTCTTCACAGGATGAAGCAGATGTGGCAACAGATGAAGCAGCAGTAAATAAATGATGGTCGGGTATGCAGCTGGCAGCCACCATGGCAAAGGAGGGCACAGCTGTAACAGCCTCCATGGAAGCTTGTGAGCCAACTCAGCGTCCTTGGGAATTGGAACCAAACTGACTTGGAACCCCAGGAGCAATAGCGGTACGGTATGGAAAAACCACTACAAACGTCACTCATGCCCCTGACCATGCTTAAGGCTGGTGTGGCCAGTAAAACAAGGCTTGTCATAAAAATGTCCACTCACCTTCTTCCGGAGCCATGGAACTTTGGACAATTTCATGAAGGTCAAATGAGGCTTAAAACCTCTGCTTTCCCCTGCCAAGATCCCTTTCTCTTGAAATGTCCTCTTTGCAGCCTCTAAAGGAAATGAAAAGAAACACAAAAATGCTACTGTTTAACACATGGTTGTCCTTAATTATGAAAACGGCAATTCAAAAAATAATAAATTATTTTATAATGAAGATTACTTTATATACCTGTTTGAAATATTATTTTTCTTAAAAGTGAGAAAAAAACACAATGTGTATGATAAACGTGTTATAACAGTTAAATCTGCAGTGATTTTAAACTTTGGATAAAGCACACAAAAGCAATAATTTGAAAAGGGAATATTTAATAAAATAATTGTTTGGCTCATATGGTGTGATTTTCACTGAACATCCCAGTGATATCCATATGTATGAAAAAGGACTAGCTTATCTGTAATCTTTCATATCTAAAACTTCTGCTTCCGACCAAGATGGAATAACAAGAATTGGATTTACCCTCTTACCATCTGAAACAATGAAAAAAAGGACAAAGTCCATGAAACCATGGTTTGCAAGACTCGGCACATTAGGCAGTGAAGGTCAGTGATCCCTGAGAAATGAGAAACAAACAAGGTGAGCCCTTCATTGCCCCAGCTTGCATCATTGAGTGTCTGGGCCTCTGTGCAAGGAGGAGAAACCCAGATGGAGCCCAGTCATCTCACTGGGTTTTGGAAAAAGAGTTGAAAGTAGGAGAGACCAAGGCATCTAGAGCTCACAGGACAGTACGGGAAAATTGAGACCTGCACAGAGAAAACTCCAGAGATCTGCAAAGGGTCCCCCTACAGTATTCAGCTGAGTACTGACCAGCACATAAGTGTGAGCAAACCACCTGAGAATGGGCTAACACATTTGAAAGGATTAGAGAGAACAGTGTCCAGCAGGAAACTGCCTGTTCTAATCAGCCAGACTGGAAAGCCTCAAGATTCATGGGACACTGGGTAGAACAGACAGAAGAGTCTGGCCTCAGTGGTAGGAAAAATTAGCCCTGGACTGGTACCGCTCTAGTCCCACCTAACAAGTCTTAGAAGCAAAACCCAAAAGGAAAAAACTGTTTCCAAGTAACTTAATTATGTCCAAAAACAAAGCCCAAGAGGGGCCGGCCCGGTGGCGTAATGGTTAAGTTTGCGTGCTCCGCTACAGGGGCCCAGGGTTCATGGCTTCAGATCCCAGGTGCAGACTTACACACCACTCATTAGGCCACGCTGTGGCAGTGTCCAATATACAAAAAATAGAGGAGGACTGGCACAGATGTTAGCTCGGGGACAATCTTCCTCAAGCAAAAAGAGGAAGATTGGCAACAGATGCTAGCTCAGGGCCAATCTTCCTCACAAAAAAAAAAAAAAAAAAAAACCCAAAGCCCAAGAATATTTACAGGAATACAAAACTATCCAGCATCCAACAAGGTAAACTTCACGATGCCTGGCGTCTAATCAAAAATGACCAGGCATGCAAACAAACAAGAAAATACAACCCATAATGAGGAGATAAATCAATTAACCAAAAGTGACTCAGAACTGACACAGATGTTAGAATTAGCAGATAATAGTTGTTATAACTGTGTTCTTTATGTTCAAAAAGTTAAGTAGAGATATGCAAGCTATGAAAAAGACCAAATCAAACCTAGAGAGATGAAAACTGCAATGTCTGAGAAAAACAAACTGGAAGGAATGAACAACACACTAGACATTGCAGAACAAAAAATTAGTGAACTTGAAAACACAGAAATAGAAATCACCCAAAATAAAACATAGAGGGAAAAAGAAAGAAAGATAGAAAAAAGAATAGAACATTGGTGAGCTGTGGGGTAACTTCAAGTTGCCTCATATATACGTAACCGGAGTCCCTGAAAAAGAGGCGAGAGAGAAGGAAATAGAGAAAATACTTGAAGAAACAACAGCTGTTGAGGAACGAGAGTTGCTGCAACAACAACGGAAAATAATCTGGGCGGTAACTATTGAAATTTAAACTGCACAAGCATTCTGAACTAGCAACTCCAATTCTAGTAAAAAGCACAAAAATAAAAGTATTAGCACATAAAATTCTATATAGAAGATATTTGGCATTGTTTGAATCAGCACAAACTAGAAATAACGTTCATCAATAAAGAAATGGTTGCTAAATTGCCATCTGGCCATACTAAGGACTATCAGAATAAAGAGTGATTCAGAGCTGCACATATTGGCCTGAGAAGATGTCCAGGATCTATTAAGCAAAAAAAGGTAAGTTGCATGGTTACTGTATCTATAACACGATTCCACGGTTTGTTTTCAGAGAGAGATAAAGAAAGAAAATAATTCTCTATATTTATGTTTGTATTAGCATAGAATATCTGAGGATGGGAGTTGAGATTGAACAGAAGCAGGGGAGTCTAGTAATGTTTTCTTTATACATATGCTTATTGTTTGAATGATTACAATGAGCATATATGACTTTTGAATATATAAAAATAAAGTAAGTACAATAACAAACTGACTCTACATTAGCAATATGACCTTGCTACGAGTGCACGAGCATCATACTAGACTGCACAAATAGGAGGACAGAATTTTTGGCCATCTATGTGAACAATTCACTTCAAAGGCCTTTGGTAAACAGCTCCTCATCTGGTCTCTTTATCTCAAAATCAGGTAGGGCTAATGCGTAAGTCAACTCTCAAGATAAGAAAAATGAAATATAAGTAGTTGATGCTCAAGGTCACACTGCTTGTTGGTAGTAGAGAAGGACCTGGAATCCAGGTGCCCTCACTTCTACTCTGGCCATGTTTCACTCCTCAATTCTAGGTCTGAGACCCCAGCTTGACCCCTGGGGTCAGTGAAGGGCACAGAGCTACCTCAACAACTCAATGAGGAAGAGGAAGGCAGAGAATTCTGCCACTTCCGGCCAGGTCCACACACACATCAGCTTCAGTCAGAGAAGCTCCCCTGTTCTACACACTGAGCTTCTGAGTACCATTTCATTTTTTAAAAGGATTCCAACACTTACCAAAAAAAGTTTAAAAACTAGTGATCAAAAAACGTATATAGGGTCCCTTCAGTAGTAATAATCTCACTAATACTGTCCACAAAAAAAATAGAAACTTGTTATATAGAGAGCACAGGACAGGACTTCGAATCTCAAATAAGACCATATTCAATCGAAATATTTAGTGAGAAATTGTCCCTTTTAAATTTAGTTATTTCTTATCAGTGCTACATGTCCAATTTTTCTAACAATTAAAAACCATAAACCTAATAAAAGATTATCTAATGTTTCCAGAAAATCTGTCCTTAAAAATAAAAGATGTTTTAATGCAATACTAGAGTCATAAGAATGCTTTAGTCTTAACCAACAATTCTACTGGAATCTGTACATTACTGATGATGTACATAATTATAACCAGAAATACTTAGCTGAAAACAAATATATTTCTATCACACCTGAATTTTTTTAATACTTTATGACTTCAGATTTTTTGCATGTGAACCTAAAATTAAAAAGATGGGGGAATGAGGGTGACGTCAGCGTCATGGCGGAGTGAGCTTTCCCATGAACTCTTCCCCCGATAAGATACAACAAAAGGAACAGTCACAGACCTACAACGGAATCCTAGACAGTGAAAAGCAAGATCGGAAAGATCCACACTGCCGCACATCTGAGAGTGGAACATGCTGGGCCCCTGGAGGAAGTGAGGAGAGGTAAGGAGAACTCCTCTCCCTCCCCATCAGATCAGCTATTCCAATCCACGCGGCTCCCAGAGAGGGGGGAGGGGTGGCCCTCTGCGGGAAACCGTAGCTCTTCGGGCTCTCTCAGCCAGTGGGAAACTCCCACACAGAGGACTCAGAACTGCTACGGGGTACCATCAACATCTGTGCACCCCAGAGAGCGGATAACGAGGGGTGAAGGAGAAGCCCTCCACGCCAGGGACCCAGCGGGCAAAAGAGAGAGCCCCCCCTCCCCGAAAACAGGACCCTGCAGCTCAGCCAACCAGACCAGACCAAGCGATCCCACCAGCGGATTGCAGTGAAAAACCACCACAGAGCACAGGGGGCTCAGATTACACAGCCCTTTACCCCCACACAGTGGTGGTGGGTGGAAATTGCAACCAGAGATTTCCAGGATGAGGAAAAACAGCCAATACAGGAACCACAATGCAAAG